GCTGACGAAGTGGTAGTCTAACTTGGGATAGTCCTCCGATGAATGGTACCTCAAAAGTTCAAGGTCAGACAAGGGGGTTTTACATTGCACTTGCTTTGCTTTGGCTATCAAGGCACGAGGCTACCGCTTTCGGAGGGGCTACGGCCAGATTTATCACATCGTTCGTGATCGCGATCTAGATTAGTGCTACGGTATCGCATCTCGTCTCTCGGGCTTTGGAGATTAGGTTTCTGGGGGGACAGAGAAACGGGCTTGGTCGATTCTTTCGGTGTTGTCTTAGCTCGTCAAGAACTAACGAGTAACTGTCTTATGAGCTGATGAGCAAGGGGAACGTCGACATTCCGTGGTCCCCAGCCCCCCCCCCCCCGTTGCGGTCAAACGATAGCCGTACTGGCGTTCTTCTGAAGGATTAGGACCAAACCGGTCATTGAAAGAAGAAGAGAGCTAGGCTGGAAGCGATCTACTTTGAACGTAGGGTTCAGGCGAAGAAAGGCAATTCAGCTCTTCTAAACGCGGTGTCTCAAGCCGCGCGAAGTAGCTACGGCTTCTAGTCGAGACTGGTGAGCTTCCAAGGGCCAGCCACAACGGCAGCTAGAACATCCGCGCCCACGAGGGAGCGGTTTGGCCCCTTCTTCGCTTCATGGTAGCGAGACATCCTGCGGAAACCCATGTATATCGTCCTTGGCCATCCCACCACAACCCCATGATCGCTGGCTCTGTCTCGCAAGTTTGTTGGCAGAAGCAGAGGAACAGAGACCGAGAGAGATAGTGACACAGTGAGCAAGAGAGACAATGGCCCAGTAGCAGCCTACGAAACGAACAAACCCCGGACGTTTCTCCGCTCCAGTCGAGACATTCCAGTGTCTCTCCGGCTGAGAAGACGTTTCTTTTTCCCCGGATGGCCCTACCGAGAACAGAAGTGACGTCCGCGTTGCGGGATCGCCAAAACGTTCGTTTCTTGGGTATTGCAAGCTGCATGATGCAGCTCGCATGCAGCGTGCATTTACAGGGCACGGAGCACCGCGGGAAGCAAACAATACTGTCCAAAAGATTGCATGTACGAGCACGTCCGCTGTAGGGCAATTCAGGAGAGAGAGAGCAATATCTCGCCCTTTGTTGCTTATTCCCTCTACCTTCCAAGGGGAGGGGGTGGGTATCGTCTGGCCTGAGAGGTGTTGCTGCTGCTGCTGCTGCTGGACTGGACTGAAATGGATGATTGACCGTCAACATTAGCTGCTGGCTCGGACTGAACCCCAGACCAGACGTCCCATATGCATACATTCCCACGTCTACTACGGTAAGAACTGGGATAAACGCGCAAAGCAGCCAAAGGGAGGGCTCCAGAGAAAGAAACCAAACGACAACCAGACCCAAGCTCGACAAGCAGCAGCAGCAGGCCCGTGATGCACTGCGCAGGGGACACGTCAAGGGGAACCCGCAGCCGCGTAGCCGCTTCCTACGACGAAAGCTCGGAGCGCCGTATGACCCCTTTCCGGGTCGATCTTTCAAAATGTCCAGGCTAGAAAGGCGCGTCTGCGGCACAGCGGCGCGGGAAAGGGGGGGGGGGGGATAAACGACGTTAGAACGGTGACCATTCATGGGACGGGAACAGGCTGGGCTTGACGGACGACCAAGAGGATCGCCACCAACCGCGGACGTGCATGGTGAGGGAATCACCACACCTTTTTTGCTTTGCCTCAGCACGGGGAGCAGTCTAATCTCGGGCCGTGTTACGGTTTCCGGTCATGGTTATTACGGTTACCCTCCTCCTCATCATCCTCCCCTTCGAAGGAATGAGGAGACGTTTGAAAGACAGCACACGGGATTGGGAAAGCAATACAGCAGCGGGCGCAAAGGACGTTGGGCTTGGAATTTCACCACTGACAACGTGAACCGTTCAGCCCGCGCCGTCCGCCCGCTATCCGCCGTTGACGGGATGTGAAAGTCTCGTTGGCCCGGGTTCTTCTTTGGGGGTTGCTAACTTGCTGCTGCCGCGTCGCTTCGGCTTGTTGCCGTGTGGCTGCTGACTATTGGAACGTATGGAAATGCCACCACACAGACACACACGCGCCTTACATCTCCCGCCAATCACTCCTTACGTCGCCAGCCCTGTAAACGTTGCCATGACACTAAGGCTTCTAGACTCCAGGTTCGAAGCATGGAGTCATTGATTGTGGCGCCTGCGGCCGCGGTAATTGGGGACATGTAAGGGCGTTGGGATGGGACCTTTTGACAATCTAGGCTTTCTTCCCAAGACTGCCTCTGGTTGCCAACTGCCTAGGAGGCATGGCAGAGATTCGAAGAGGGACAACTAAACCAGAATCGATGGTAAAAGAAAGAGAGGTATGGATGGCATACGGGATACGGATGGAGGCCATCGGAATTCTTGGCCCCCACCCTTAACTTGAACGAGACCCCCCTTCCACTTCCTCTGAAAGACCGAGCCAGTTGGAGGCAGGGCATATTGGCAAAACAGGCAGGCAAGTAAAAGTGGATGAGGCTATATCCTGCGAATACCGCGGCCGGCAGTGAGACTTGTGACTGGAAAAGGCCAATGGGCCGAAACCCAGACGAGGTCGAAGGACCCTCTTGACGAGCGAAGATTTGCGAGCACGATCGCACCTTGTGGGCTGTCACATTTTTTTCTGCTCTCTGCTGGCCTTACAGGCCTGCAGATGACAGAAAATGGCTGATAGGGGGAGGGTGGAAGGTTGGAAGGTGGAAGTATAACTCCGTCCGGCTCTCTCGCGTGTCTGCGGGTGGTGGATTCTCTACTTCACCGCTGCATATCACGAGCCTCTCTGCGGAGCATCCATCCATCTTCATGTATCGAGTACGGAGTACACGCCCCTCTTGTGTGCTTGATCATCGCCAACGAGTGTCTCGTGCTGAGTGATTTTGCCTCTTGGGCTAACGACTCGAGTTTTGTCCTGAAGCATTCCAGCGGAGTCTATCATCGTATAAGGCAGGCTAAGGAGGAGGAGAAGGAGCGGCAGCAGCGATATAGGAGAGCAACGTGGATGCGTAATGAGATGTCTGCAGGAGGAGAGCGAAAAGAGACGGGGACCGGACTTATGGTGGTTGACGTGCTGGTCACTTTTCCGACACACCCATGGCCATGCGTTGGTGATCGCCCAAGTGATCTCTGGTACGGCAGCCACGGAGCGCATATGCGGCGTCTTCCATACGGATACTTCCATTTTGCCCCATTCCCTTTCTTCGTAGGTAAGAAGGAGGTGGTGTCAAGGATCTTCACAGAGATGGGGGGCCAAAATGCCTAGGCACAAGGTGCGAAGAGGGCCTCCTGCGGAGTAGACGCTCTCCGGCTCCTTTGGCTTTGTGGGCATCGCGCCATATTACCTGTGCCAAGCGGGAATGAACGTTAACTTCCTGTAGGAGGCGAGCCTTGGACCGTTGGTGTGCCACGATGCCTGGGTTCTTAGTGGGTGCCGACAGAGGGGAGCCCACGGGAGATCTCGAGGCGTGAGCCCACGAAGTCGGCCAACGAGGACGCGTTCTCCTCAATATACGAAAGGGTGGAGTGGGCAGCTTTGAACGCTAGACCGGCCGAGATCGTGTTGAGAGAATTGGGCGGGACAGAGTTGATGTCAGTACGCATGGATGGTACTGGGCTTACGAAGTTACGGCGAGTTGGTTTCATCTATCTGCTGGAATGAAGGTTGGATGAAGGGCTCGAAGGATGCTGATCGTCACTTGTTTCGTTCTTGGAAGAAGAAGAGTAACTTCCAGGAGACACCCAGACTTCACCCCTTCCCCCCTCCAAGTGGACTTTGTATGACAGCATGCGCGGTGGACGGCAGACTCCAGACTGCTGGATCCGCTCGGTCAGGTTGTGTTGGACCAGGAAGCCAGGACCATGGAAAGCCCATTATTCAGTTCCCTCGGAGGGTTTTTGTCACCGCGATGTATCTCGCCGTTCCCACCCACTGAACATGCTCATCTCCCCTCGTCAAATATTGAGTTTCCTTCGGTATTATGCCTTCGGGGAATCGGGAAGACGCCTGCGATTTGCAAGATCCTGGGAAATGATCCTCTGAATCGCGGCACCTCACAGCTTACCCCCCTCACAGTCCCACGATTTTCGATATGTATGCAAGCACAGCCTCGCTGCCTCTTTCTTGCTTGCCAGGGTAATATGGAGAGGGGAGCAGCAGCAGTACTCGGTACGCCGAATCGAGGTTGAGCTCGACTCGGAGGCCCTCCCGTTTGTGTCATGAAACCTGCCTCTGCGTCTCCTCTTCCTTTTCTCGGTCAATAGTCGTGATCGTATTTCTAGGTGGGTTGCGTAGTACGTATCGTGGACGCAACGCTTCTGCGAGCCCACAAACGGTCATGGAAAACGTGTCTCTGCTGGGATCACCCCTTTCTCTTTGAAATCCCGGTCTACTCGTCGAGAAGGGGGATGGCTGGATAGGATATGTGGACTGTGTGGACTGGGTTTTTCTTGATATGCATCCACTGAAGCTAAGGCAGTTCCCTGCGAATAGAGTCCACAGAGGCAGATACGTTGAGAGTTCGTAATGTGAGCCGTCTCCTCTTGGGATCTTTTTCTGCTCGCCCGTCACCATTTGACGTACGACTCCAATTTTTACCCAACCTTTGTCCGGTGTCCAAGATGCCTTGTTCCCAGTTGCCAGGAAGGAGGGCCCCAGATGCTCGGTACTGACGGAGCCTCGCCCGCGATGAACGACGTCAAGGTAATTATTCAGGACGGTGATCGGTGGGACTTGGCAGTTGAGACCCCAGTGCCGTGTAACGTCAAGCACACCGATGAGAGACGGCATCAGGGGGTGCGTTGTGTTTTTGCTTTTTGGATGGGGATGAAAAAGGCCAAGAGGGCAGGGGAAGAAGACCCAAGACCACGATGCAGTTGTCGATTTGGGGATAGGTTGATAGAGCCTAGAGGGGGGCCCCCAGTATGCATGCTCTTCTGCTTTGGTCTCGAAGAGATGCTTCTCCCACTCGGAGCCGGTTTTTTGTCAGCAAGGACCATTGAGCAATATCCGGAACTCGCCCGACAATTCGGAACAGATGGACTCGTGCTTCTGCTTCTGCTTCTGCTTGATGTTTGTGCTTGGTATGGAGTACTGATGCAGCGGTACTGGTAGTGCACCAGCCTCCGTTGAGTGTGCCTTGCCTCGCATATCGTACCCTCTCGATATTGAATGGGACCCTCGTGAGTTGCCCTTTCTTGCAAGCTGCATGTTTCCGTCTCAGCCCTCGGGGCATTGACCCTTGAGTCGACCCAACCGCTTCGAGGGATGTCACACATTCAACCTGCGTCGTTGCCCATGAGTAGCGAGCCGCTGGTATAGAGTCGCAATATTGAGATACACCAGAAGCCCCGTTCGCCGGACGAGAAGCCCATTCCTGACGTTGTTATTGCTCTTTTTTTTTGAGTCCGTCTTGGGTCAGACAGCTGTCAAAAAAAGCAAACCGGAACGCCGGTGTATTCTTTCGACTCTTAACAGAAAGCCGATATAGGGACCACATGCAGGGGTCCGGGGACCGGCTTAGCAGCAAAGGGCTCATTTCGCCAATCCGCCTGCATTCCTGTTGACAGGGCTGGAGGTGAGGGGGATATCCCTTCTGAGAAATTCCCAAACGGTCGTCTAGCCTCAATGAATGGAGGCAGGGAAGATCCTTTTCTCGACCCATGTGGCTTGCGAGTCATCAACGTTCCAACTCCTCTGAATTGTCGTATTGCGCTCCCCCGCAAGGCCCGCTTGCGGCCGACTCGTCGAGATGAGGCAGGGCCTCTGCTATGCGGATTTGCATGTCTGTCGGACGCGTATTTTTCATTGGGGGTATTCGTAACTTCGTAAGGAGTAGATCATTGATAACTGAAGGGGGAGGTACTTTTTGATGATATTGCACAGGGCGCAGGGCGGCAAATGCAGTAGCATGGAAGTCCGTCCGCCTCCCCGAGCCTGGACGGCCTGCAGACTTTGCCGGCAGTGGATGAAATTCCCATTGCTCTCGGGACGTGTAGATGGACCAACAACCATTCCCTTTTGACAGGCAAACAATACCGTACTTTACCGGACTTAATGTGTGATGCGAACCAATGGACCCATGGTCTCTGGACCGCTCGCCTTGGTACCGGTCTTCCTATCCCCGGCCGATGCGGCAAACTTTGACCGGGAGCAGCAGTAGCAGGAGCAGCAACGCCTCCGAGATGCAGAGACCGAGGTACGGATATCGTAGCTGGACCCAATCTATGAGACCATGGTGACATACGAGCTAAGCTCGCAGCGTGCTCCCTGTCTGTCTCCTTCCGGCTTGCGCGTTGAGCAGGATGGGGAAGAACCTATCCAAAGGATGACTGACCAGCGTTGCCGGGGTCTGTTCGGTGGTCTGGTGTTGCACTGCAGGCTGCCCGACAGCCCATCTTGCATCTTGGCTGTCGACGGCTGCTGCTGCTGCTGCTGCTCACTCACTTGGTGGCTATAGCTCCTGGGGGGGACGCAGCACCGAGGACGGCATAGAGGCACATGGGTGATGAAGCCTCGAGCTTCTTGATGACGGGCGCAGCGCCATTCGACGCGAGGGTTGGTTATAGTTGAACGGTACAAGCGCGTGCGTGCCATTTGCTGGCTTTTCCATCAATCCCAGCAACGGCATTCCACGGTGAGAAGCATGTGCTGGTCATCGACGTGGCTTTCGTTGCATCTTGCTGCATCCTTCAGCCGCCTGCCACCCCCCATGTTCCCGTTCAACGGCAGCTTTGAAGGAGACCCTCCCCCCAGCTCATTCTCGGTCGAGATCTGCCCCTGTGGCATGGGGGACACCAGTCAGCATGGCTCAGAAATTCAGAATTGACACGCTGTGAGCTTGTGACGGAGATTTGAACGCGTACAACAATTATGAAATGGAAATGAATAAAAGAGCCTAAAGATACAGTCAGGGGAAACCTCGGAAGGTGAGCCATTGTCGTTGGCGTTGCAGGGCTGCGAGACAAACTGTTCAAGAAAAAGCAAAATAAACAACGAGAAACATTATTGGACATCGCATCCCGGACATGGTCCAGATTGGGCAATCTCATCGCATTGACAGGTTTGCTGGGCGTTATTAATAGAAATTTGAGAGAAAAGTCCAGGCTTCTGAATCGTTCAACCGCAGCACCCGTTGCGTGAACATGGGAGAAAAGACAAAAAGCAGTAAAAGAAGAACATTTGCAGTCAGACCAAATGATGGCGGTTTCAAAATCATGATTCTGTAAGGGCGAAAGGTTATCATTAGTCTGGAGGAAGAGACAACATGTCGTCGACTGGAATGTTTTCTGTCCACCAAGCGACGTTGGAGAGATGAGCGGCTAGGCTCTAGTAGGGAGAGGACTGGGGGTGCCTCATCGAGGAGGTGTGTGTCTGTGTGTCACTGAGCTACTCAAAGTGTGGCTGATGCATTTTGTTTCCCAAACCCAAAAGAGAAGAGCCCCCCAAAACCCAAAGCCCCAGGGGCAAGGCGGCAGCACGAGAGGAAGACTAACGGCCAGAGTCAGGCCATGATGACGCCTGGAGGCTTTGAACGAGATTTAAACAAGCACAGCCAGACGGCGGAAGAATAAGAAAACGGTAAAGAGTGACAGCGCCGCAGCGCCCATCCCGACCCTACGTGCTCGTGCGTGCCTACTTTGACGTCCTGATGGGCGATCTCTTGAAGGGGTGGGAGAGGGGGCGTGGGAGGGCTGCCAGGGGCAATTTGCAGTTCAGCGTTCTCGACTGGCCTAGAAACCCTGGTAAGGAGGAGAAAAGCCAAGGAGGATTCGTCGACGAGGGCCACAGATCTGGTAATCCAATCCCGTAGTGGAGAGAAGAGAGAGAGAGAGCGAGAGACAAAGATGGGTAGATGCAGATGGCCAGAATCGGCAACTTGGTTGGGTCAGTAGTCAGCCGACGGGCGAGAGATAGAGAACACAACATACAGAGCAGTTCCAAACTTCCAAAGAGGCCTGCGAGAGTTTGATAGACCCCGTGCGAGATGGGCAGCAAAGCGCCCCTAGTCCACGAATGATCTTGATCCATCTCTTCTTAACAAGGGGCCCTACTTTTTCCTCTAGCGTGATGGGTAAAGAACGGGTTTCCGGGTATCCAAGCAAGACTAGCCAGCCCATTCGACCACGGTTCTTTAATGTTCATCTAGCACGCTTTCAGAAGAGGTTGCATCTCTTCGCGTGGTGGTTCTTCTCGGGTCGTCCAGTCAAGAAAGAGTGTGTTGGCAGGGCAGGGGAAATCCTGGTTGATCGTCGCGGAGGCTGGAGATCACAGGATTGACCCGTGGGCCTCTGCTTTTCTGTTCTATCCCGTACCCAAGTGCCAGGTCTTCTTCACACCCCTTGGATCCGGCCGTGTGCGTAGGGAACTTTCGGGAGGATTCGAGAGAGGCGTCCAATGGGATGACCCACCGGGAAGAGGGAAGGGAGGCAGAGAACACGGTGCTGGGAGGGAGGGGAAGGGGGGGGCATGTAGATGAAGCAGGGTAGGTTTACCTACTGTGCTGTCTATTCACTATCATCTGGAAAGGTTCATGTCGGTTCAATTTAGGATCAATTAAATTTCATTCGAGAGAACGTAGGCTGCAGTAGATACCTAGGAAAACCAAGCTACAGCTCCTGTAGTCGGAAGTTTGTGTGATGTGGCTTTGGGAGAGCGGCGGTTCAATTTCTTTAAATCTCTCAGACTAAGGGACGCCGTAGATGATGCCCGGCCGCCACAGCTCTAGCCGAAACTCTCGGTTAGCCGTCTTTCCAATCCGCACAAATCTGACGCTTCTTTTGGGGCCGAAGCGAGATCTAATCGAGATTGTCCGCGTCAGTCGCAGGAGGCACTAGCCAGCTTATTAAGTTACGAGAGTTGAATTACCAAATCTCTCGAGATGGGCCATCTTCAATGCTGCCAGCTTGCCATGGGCATAAGCCTCGGCCCTCAGGGCTTACGATGGTAGGAGCTGGCTCCGATTGCGAATTGCCAATGGACTTATTCCCAAGCGGCCGTCGTTTCTCGGGGCATGGGGAGCAAGCTCTGGCCTGTGCTTGTTCTTCCCATCTTAATCTTCCCCCACTCTCGGAAATCTCAATGTGGTCGAAGGACTGGGCAAGTAGGGGGATCCAGGGGTGGTTTGTCGTTCCATAGATGTTCTAGGGGCTTAGCCAAAGGAGATAAGTTGCTTTGATCGAGCGTTGAAAGGGAAGAGTCTCGACTCTGAACAACAGGAAATGATTTACGGGGCGAGGCCGGGCGACGAACAGTAGGATAAACTAGAGCCTGTTTCTGCAATTGAAGACACATTTCTCGTGGTCTTCAAAATGTCTTGCTATGTTTGTTTGAGGTTTGAGCCTCATTTCCCCTTCAGCTAGTGGCATTCTCTCCTTCACGCCGTTTCCGTCATAATTCTCTCGTTTGGAACTCTCGACTCTGGTTGAGCGATTAAGAAAGTGTGAAGATGGATGGTGATAGTGGAGCCAGCACAACAGACTTTGGGACCGGTTCTCAAAAAGCAAGCTGATGGGATGAGAGCCAAGGGTTGGGCTTGGGCGGATGGCCCCCCCTGTGCTGATCGACAGATCCTCTCGACGCCCTCGTCCACGTCTGGGTCCCGCCATCCCAATCAGCGTCCCTGCCGCTCTTGAAAGGAACCTGCCGCGGAGAGAGGCCAGAGAAGGATCTGGTCACGCCCGTTGCACCGGTACCAGCCATGGGATTCATTGGCCCAGACACGCGCTGGCGGCGGAATTCAAGCGGGCGACATCATCGATCCCATTATACTTATTACACTTTCCAGTACAGGGTCACAGGGCCCCTTGGGACGTTAGTGTAGGCAACGATTTGCTAGTATCTCGAAATCAAAGTTTCGAGACACCTTCATACGAGGGACCAGATTTGACTTTAGGTGGTAGTAATAGAGACGGCGTCCTGCACCTAGGGTTTATGTTCGCGAACAGTTGCTCCGATTCCGAGCACTTCGGAAACTACCGCCCTCGTCGTCGTTAAAAAAGTGCCGAGTGGCTTTGCTGCAAACGAGGCTGCCGGCGTGTTACTACGACGAAACCTACTAGAATAGTGCGCGACGCCCAGGCGGTCGGCAGTTGCGTAGTGTCTTTACAGCTCGTGTCCGCCATGAGTGATTAGCATGTTGGCCATGTGCTGCAGGGCTGGAATTTTTGTGTTTGTGATCACTGGTGAGACTTTACATAATGACTCTGGAGCTACTGCGGCGCGAGTTGATGTGCTTGACTGCTCTTATGTTCGAATACGGATATATGTGTGTGATGGGGGGCAAAGTATCAAGAAACATGACGCAAACAGGATTGAGCCTTGTCTTACTGCTATTCGCCTCTTCCCAGCCATCAGTTTATACTTACATACGGATACACAGTACATCTTGGCCCGTTCGTTTCTGCACAAACTGACCCTTCTCACCCCTAGTGAATGAGCGGGTCGGTGATGGATGATCTGCAATTGGCAATGAAAAAGCAGGTAGGGGCCGAGGAATCGGATTCGCGACCGGCATTGAATTGTCCTTGAGGGCTGAAGCACAACCCGTACCAAAACACACACATCGGTCGGCTGCCCGTTCCGTGACACCGCTCGTGCTTCAGGGACGATCTTGTATGCGCCAAGCAGCGCACATGGCACATTATGAGTTGCAAGACAGGCAGCTGCCATTGTTTGACTTTAGAGTTGATTGATGATTGACAGCAGATGGTATCCGGATGACATTTCCTCCGCAGGAGCCAAGTGTTCGCGGGGTTGGTATCCCAGACATTGATTTGGCGGATGAGACTTGAGAACGCGTACGTATACTAGATAATGAAGATGATGATGATAATAACAACAACGACAATAATAATCATGGCGGTGATGTATGTAGGCGGAGACACCCCCATGCTCTGTTATGGATAAGGAGGTCCTGCGGCCCCCATCGTCGACATCGACAACAATACATACGCCCAATGGAGTGAGAATCGCCTCATGTATCCACGACCGTCGCATTGTCCTGGAATTCTCCGGATGATCTTGCAAGTTGCAATTGAAGACTCACGACCGGGGGTTGCCCAGGAGGACGCAGTGCCGGCTGCAACGACATCATCGGCCGTCATGGTTGGATCAACTTCCCGTCCGGGTGCGTGGGTTTTTCTTCGAGATCGGCACGACGGTACCCAGCCAGAGGTAGCGGCGCCGCGGCAGACAACGTGCTCAACCTGCGCTGCTGCTGACCAAGGTTTACCAAGAGAGTGTTTTTGGGACAATACCCGAGGCACTCGAAGACGATCGCCGCGCGGGCACCGCGTTAGTGCCCTTCGGTTAGAGGTAGTCTTGGACAAGGGGGGTGGGTTGATGGTCGAGGGGGAACCAGCCCAGCCCAAGGTCCAGCCCTTCCCGGAGATTGGTCGGTGACAGGTGAGAGCTGGAAGACAAGATTGGCCCGGGCCCATTGTTAAAGGCCGATGTCTAAAGGCGAATTACCTACCTAGAGGGGCACAGTTGATCTCATTCACAGATCTGCTGGCGTGGATGATGACCGCTCGTACAAGTTACATCGGGGCGAGCTGTACCGTGGTCCGAGTCCCCGTCTTCAGGCTTCAAGTCTCGAAAAGCCTAAAGGATGGACGATCTACCTACCACGTTCCATCAGTACATACGAATAGCCGGATTGCAAACACAAAAAAAGCCCGGTGTTTGGTTTGGATAGGTGTCCATTCAGCGGTAGCGGTTGGACGGGTACATCTGCCACCCACCCTCTTCACCTGGGCTGGCTGCGTATACTATCGTACGGCCTGCCGCTCTCAGTCTAGGGAATCCGAGAAGAGGGCTATATGGGGTGTGCTCCCATATGACGATACCGGTACAATCAGAAAAAAAGAGGCTCCGAAGTACGACCGCTTCGCGCCGTAGGGTACCCCATACTGCAGGGTCGACACGCAGCAGCTTTGCATGCGCGCGGGGGACGGACGACGACAAAGTGAAGGGATACGTCGATACGAAAGGTCTGGCGGACGCCACGCGCTGCACCCGATCTGGATGGACGCCGTTTCGTTTGGCACCAGCTAAGCTCAGGCAAGCCTAGGGAGCTTGTTGCTACCTTGCCTTTTGCTAGCCGTGCCTAGGTAGCTAGACCTATCGCTCACCCGCGGAACACCTTGTCCACACGAGCAGCAGGAGGGAGAGAGAGGCACAGAGAGGCACAGAGAGGCAGACAGATCTGACTGATCCCAGGAAGTTGCCGTTTTGACAGGATACGGCGGAGGAGGTGGACGGACATGCTGGGGTTGAGAGGATGCCCAGGCTCGCGCTAGCAGAGCTTCAAAGCCCGAGGACCTGGATCAGTTCAAAGCCCGATCACGGGACTTGCGGCCCATGTCTTTTGAATGGGGAACGTCCTTCTCGTGCTTTTCCGACGACATGGGACCACGGGAGCAGGGCAGAGGAGAGATCGTCGCTCGCCCGTCGTGAGGATCTTGACCGAAGGACACGAGAAGCGGGATCTGACGCTGGGGTTGTGAGAGTTGGAGAGTGACGGGGGCAGAATAATTCCGTCGAAACAAATTGGCCTCTCCAAGGTTTTACGATTTCATGTGGGTGCTGAGTCGTTGGCAGATGGCCGTCAAGCATAGCCAAAGTATAAAAAGATTAATCAAGAAAATAAAGGAATAACGGAGTACAAGGGACGTAGGCGTGGGCGTGGGCGGCCGGCCTCCCGGCGATCTGCAGCCGCTGCAAGGCTCACGAACTATCTACGAACCGCTTCAATCTTTGCGTGTCGCTCTCAAAGTTTATCGTCTGGCGTTCATTTCCCAAGTCGAGGGTCCGAGATGCTGCTCAGCCACACGAGATTGAGGTGAATCACGTAACTTCGGGGGGTTAACCATTACCACGGACGGCCAAGAGACTATCGTGATGTTGGATTCTCGCACATCGCGATCCTCCCTCTCCCCACGGCGGGGGGGACAACCAGCTGCTGCCGATTGGCGAATGAACGAGATGTTACACCGATGGGAGATGGAGATTGGGGGGTCATCCCACAACGGTGAGCAACAACGCGCCCGCTGCAGCGGGACTTTCATCCGCAAGCATGGTCCAGCAGGGCAGAACAGGGTTGAAGTGAGCAGACTCTCATTCGTAGTGAGACGCATCGCTCAGCATACTGAGCATAGTACTGATACCCTCAGATGCGGACGGACTACGATAGAGTGTGTGGACGGGCTCATCGTTGCATTGTGTCGGCCAGCGGCCCAGCAATGTGCAAGTGCCAGTCGCAAGCAAGGCGTTGGCAACCACTAAAGGATTCCATGGTGGTTCTGGTGTGAGTCTAGCGTGCTTCGCGACGGAACAGACAACTTGTTCGGTGTTAGCACGCGGCATAGCGGTAGCCATTCCATTTCGTTTCTGGTGATGGCTTCGTCTGGGAACATGGGCCATGGACACCGGTGGTGGGAAAAAGCAAGCAACGGCCGGGCGGTTCCTCCTCTAAGCCACGCAAGCCTCACAAGTCCTCTCGTCACATACGGCCCGTCTACGTCTACTAACATAGTGTGGACCGAGGGAGAAAGTCTTCACTGGCAGCGGGGACGCTCCAACTAAGACTCTCGCTCCCAGCTATACTAGACGCACCAAAGGTGTTCATGTCTCTCTCTCTGTCTCTGCTTCTTCACGTGCTAGGACGCTAAAGTCGTTCGCGAAGTTTGACACGGAGACACTAGACGACGCCGTCGCCAGCCATTTTCTCAAGCGAAGTCTGAAGTCTGCACTTTGTCTCAACGTTCCCCCGTTTGCCCGTTTCCCCGTTCCCCGAGCCTTGCAAGCGTACCAAGGCAAGCAAGCCTCAAGCCTCTCGGGGGTCTGGGGAGGGTATTACGTGGTCGTCGTTTCTCCAAGTGCCATGCCAAGTTGTCGTCAAGTCTCAGGGAGGCTCTTCTGTCACAGGGCAGCGCACATGGCAAAATGCAGAGTTGCAGACATGCAAAATGCAAACGAGAATGCAAATGCTATCAGTGTCGTCGCAGACGCAGACACAGACACAGACACCCACTCCGAAACTCTCTGATCAACAACAACCACTCACTTCCAAAGACTGGTATCCATGCACCCACATGAATGAGGAGGGAGGAAACTTGCTGCCATAAGCATATTAAAGCAGTGGCATAACATCAGAGCGACCGGAGCTGTCACGGCGGAAGACTTGGGACGACATCGGCGGGACAAGACGTGACGGAGCCTGTCATTTGGTCTTTGGCAAGCAATAACGGACGAGTCACCGCTTCATCCGAAGCCATTCTGTTGCACAATTGTGCCTGAGAAGCTCTCGGAACTTGAGGCCTTCTTCATGCCTTGGCCCTCACATGGAAGGGATTCCCCAACCCCCCTTGAGTCTTGACCCCGGGCCTTTCCCAGGAACTCCGTTGCCGTTCCGTCTGCATCCCATTCCCAAACCCTTTTCCTCCCATCTTTCTCGACCCTCGTCTCCAGGTCGATCACGGACCCCTTCCTCATGAACCAGGGTCGTAGGAGCCAGAGAGAGGCAGAGGCACCTTGGAGTGGACAAGGTATGTGCGAGACATCATGGCCGGGGCCGGGGTGGGATCAAATGTTTAGGGAAAGCAAGCACCAGGCCAAGACGATGACCACACAACACACATGCGCACATCCATGGGCCGTTCAAACTCAGAGAGCGAGAATCCGAGCAGAGAGGGCAGAAGGAGAGAGAGAGCCGACACCAAAGACCAGACTTGTTCTCTTCCTCCCCTGTGACCCTATCCTTGCAAGGTTCAAGCCACCCTGCGCAAGCGAGGGGGGCTTTCCTGGCGCCCGAGCTAAACTGAAGATCATATTGAAATTAGCCTTTGTTTCCGACTGTCTGTTTCCCTGCCCCCCCCCCCCCCTTCTCTTACACCCCCTTCACACATCTCACATTCCTCACACCCTCATGCCATGCCAATATGGAGTCTTTCCCCCTCCTCCTCCAAGAAACAGTATCCCGGCGCCCCTGATGCCCCATTCCCCTATCGATGCCGTGCCGTCTCTTTGACGCCGCCGCCGTCCGATCCCCTCGCAAAAAGCCCACAACCAAGATGGGGGGAAAAGACAAGATGGAGAGATACTGTCAGAGCACACCAACCCAACAGCAACAAGCAGCAAAGCAGGGCCCAATAGAGGAGGCTAACGAGTCGCTGACAGCTACCTTCAAACTTGACGTGCGTAACCCTTTCGCACGGCCGCCGCTGCAAGCGATGTCGACGACGCCGAACCTAGCGGCAGACGCCAGACCAGGAGCTTTGCGGCGACTGCGGGAGAGCTTCGCTCGCGGCTTTTCCATGGGTGCCACAAAGCCAACCGCCCCGAGTCGAGTCGGGCTGCAGTGACGAACTCTATCTAGCGGTGCGTTGCGTTGTGTTGAATTGCGATCATATGGGATCTCTGGGGCCGACTTGCCTGGGCTGAACTCAACTTTGAACAGTTTCTGCTCCATTTCCAATTCGGACTGATGCCCGACCCGAAAGCCTGGCGGACGGTCAATCCTTCACCACACTGATTTTCGTGGCTAAATTGTGAATGGTCAAAATGCCACTCTGGGATGCCACTCTGGCACTCAGTACTAGTTGTGTCGGCATCGCCAAGCGGCAACTGCCTGAAGGTTGCAACGCACACGACACAAAGTTGAGAGTTGTCTGAAGTTGTCAAAAAAAAAGTTATCGTCCAGAGTTGACCGGCTGTTGCCGTTGCACAAACCGGCTCTTCACATGAGTTGACGCAACGCAACGCAACGTCTTGGGAGCTGTTTCTCTATTTTTCATCCCGATGACTCCGCATGAGATGCCAAGAGCAGGCCGTTTTCCCAGCCCGTCAACCCTTTTTTATCATTAAGCTTGTCTTGAGAGCAACGTGATGAGCGTCAATCAAAACAACATCCGGCCAGAATGCTTGCCACTCCTGCCTCTCAACCCTGCAGTAAATCCGGAATATTGTTGCAATTAATGTCCCATGATCTGGGAAGGGGTTCTTCCGGGCCCCTGTGTATAGGTATTCGTATGCCCCCCCACGGATGCGAGGCCGAACATCATAGTAGCATAGAAACAACTCATTATGCTGGGAAGAGCCGTTGAGACAAGATTGGGATCATCTCGCGTCGTCGGCAGATTGAGCGAAGTTTGGATCCGACAATCTGCATCATGGGCAACTTGCCATTCCAACACTTCAGGACGATTCTGGAACAAAGACACCAGTCATCCGAACATGGGACCTAGCACGGCACGTTGAAGCACCGTGTCCCCCTCCCTCCTCTTTCTGAAGTCTCGCAGCCTTGGGATGACGTTCTGGCATCTGTACATTCGAGGCAGAAGCGACGAACGGCATAAGATCACCTCGACAATCCGGTCGCAGCACAGGGCTGGCAGGGTCTGATGAAGCTCTTGGGGCGTCACACGCCGCACGCCCCCCGACGTCAGTCAGGCACAGAGTCGTTGCTCGTCTCAAGTGCGTGCGTGTGTGCGGAGCAGTGTGTGTCTGTGGTGCGTGCCCACGGCTGGCAACCCCAGTCCACGAACACCACGGTCCATAACGAACATCTCTCCCTCTCTCTCTCTCCCGTCGTGGCTCTTGACCTTCTTCCCTTCTACACCAACCCCTCGGGCCTCCGTCCCAAACACACAAGCCTTCATGACAGGACAGGGGTGAGGCATCCCAGACTGCCCCATCCTCGGAACGGGAGCAAGATCCAGATTAGGAAATGGTGGCCCGAGTGGTGCCATGCATAACAGCACTGGATTCGGATTAGCCCTTGCTAGGCTAGCGGCCCACGCACCACGGCCGTGGAAGGGGGGGGCCGGGGAGGCGTGGCCAAGGGTGTGCCGGCAGCTTGAGAGTTTGTGAGTTCAGAGAGACAGAGAGAGAGAACGAGAAGAGTAAGAGGGCGTGTGGCCAAGATATGTAGGGGACTCCCTCAGTACATTCCCGTGTGGGAGAAGGAGGAAGAGGCGTTCAGAGCAGGGCCCTAACGAACAGCCAGGACACACGGCTGGGGTACGTTCTTGGACAACAGACCCTGCCGTTGCATAAACCAGTGACCGTTTGACCTCAGCGATCCATTGACGTTGATCCCAGACGGGGTCAGTCGCCCTCGATCTCACCCGCAATCCCGGCTACTGCTGCCAGCCAGCCAGCAACACGGATACACCCATTACCTACTGCTCCCATGTATCCGTACTGCGTAGAAGTACGGATACACTACGACTCTTTTCTTTCTGCCCACGCCAGACTCGAGATCGTTGTTGTTATGATTATGGTTCAGGCACACAACCAGCATCGCTCAGGATCCCCCCGATGCACCCCCAAGTAAGAGAACCGTCCACATACCCTTGCCCCGTCATCCCAATATCCAGGAGGCGCTATAGCCAGGCTACAGATACATCGAGAGACAGGCCATCGTGCTCGCGCTTCTCTCACTCTCTTTCCTGTCTCTGCTACTTCCTAGTTCCTACCTGTTGTCTTCCTCTTCCTCCTCTCCTCCCCTCCCCTCCCCTCCTCCCTCTTCACGGCCCCCGGTCTCATCTACCTAGTACCGATGACCCCGTCCTCCTCCCCTTGTCGTTAAACCTCGCAGCACGACTGAGTAGTACGTACCCCATAGATGACCCAAGACGAGGACCTTGGACTGACCCTTGCTTCGCTACCATCAGAATCACACACCCCCGTCGTCGCCGCCTTTCGTCTGGTCCCAGGCCTGGCGTAACGGTCCCAAGACTTATCCCACTCTCTCTGCCTCTGACCCACACACAATTTGTGACAGGCGATTGTGGCATCTCATCGTCCAGGGATCATCGTGTGGATTTACGCTTGATCACCCATTCCACTCTGCTTCGGGAGATCTGATATACCTGCCTCCCCCATCTGCCACCTCTACTCCATCCACCCACCAACAAGCTTCTTTCACCAGGCCATTTCATACTTAAACTACCCACCCTCCCCTTCCCCCTCATCGACTTGGAATCTCGAATAACTCCTGAACCAAAATCAATCTCTAGTATCCAGCTGGCACTTGGGGCTAATCACTACTCTACATCTAATACCTGTTGTGTTAATATTCAACGACCTACCACCATCACCATCACATCAACCACATCTTTCATCAACTCATCGACGACAAGACCGAAGCCAACTACAAGGAGAAAAGGATCAACTACACCACGCAACCAGCACCAAGCACACTTCAAAGTTTTTCGAAACTCTTAATCAGCAACAATGGCGAGCGCTTTAATATCGAACCCGTACGCTGCTCAGCAAAGCGCACACTACGGATACGTCCAACCGCCTCAACCTCCCCCATCGCCTCCCATGGACGAGACATCAAAGTGCTCTCTCCCCTCCATCTCAAATCTCCTTGGCCTCGCAGACCAAGGCTCGCCCACATCCGAGACGCACCCTCAGATTCCTCAGCAAGGTACGGATAGGATGGACAGCGCAACAGACAACAGCAACAGAACACTGACCTCCCGCATAGCATCCTCCCAAAAGTCCGAGACGAGACCAAGCTCTTCTCACTATGGCCGCGGCGGACTTCCTCCCACGCCTCCCATGAGCTCCGACGCCTCCTTCGACGGCTACAACTCTCCCTCAACGAGATCCGTCAGCCAGCTTTCCGTCGTCTCACAGCCCCAGAGCAACTACTACTATGAGTCCACGCCCCCTCTGGAAGCCGAAGCCCACCGCCACATGGCTCCCATGATCCCAAGAGTGCCTGTCCAAGGCTCATACGCCCAGGCCCAGCCTTTCCCGCCTGCCTATATGCCCGCCCACAACCCCATTGCGGCTTCCTACTACCCTCCCATGCAGCACACCCCTCCTCCTCAGGCTCAGATCTCTGGCATCTACTACCAGCGCCCTCTTCCTCAACAATTCCCGCCCATGGCCCCCGTTCCCGTCGGCATGGGACCCAACGGTACCAACCCGTGGCAACATCACCACTACATCTCCCCCTCTTCAGCGGCATCCTTCCCCCAGAGCCAGGACCGCTACATCTGCCAGACCTGCAACAAGGCCTTTTCCCGCCCTTCATCCCTGCGCATCCACAGCCACTCCCACACCGGCGAGAAGCCCTTTAAGTGCCCGCACGCCGGCTGCGGCAAGGCCTTCAGCGTTCGCAGCAACATGAAGCGTCACGAGCGCGGATGCCACAACTTTGAGAGCGGCAGCACCTGCAGCAACTGATCGACAATTATAATCTGAACGGTTATTTCTATTCACTGTTATCATGATCAATACGACAAAAATCCTGGGGTGGAGTCGTCAAACGCGCAAAAGAGCTGGAACGGCAAAGGGGAAGGGGGGTTCGGACCGGTTTCAACGGGAAAGATACCACGTGGTAGAACATTATCACTTCTACCGCAACTGCAACAACATCAAACGACATCAATTTTAACATCATAATCAGCAACGACGAAAACAATCAAAACAAAAAAACCCCCAAACCATCAAATCAAAGTCTTTTCAACGGCGTTCAACAACTACAAAAGAGGGTTCCCCACGGATTGGAGAACATCATCCATTGGCGGTCCTCTGGATGGGGAAGACGGGGTCAATCAAAGGCAGAGGAGGAAATCTATTTCTTCTCGACATGTGTTAAAGTTGGCTTATTTCTTCTATTTTCCTTTTCGTCTGCTTTTTACTACCGGAGCAAGAGGCGTGAATCATGGCTGGGGCAAAACTGGTCACGGGCAAGAAGTCCAGCCAGGCAATGAGAAAACTTGGCATTTACAGGCGTTTTGAATTGTATACGGGGGGTGGGTGGATCGTGTGTGGAGGTGGCACGACGTTTATTGTGTGTGACTAGTCCTCTGGTTCGGAGGCAAGTCGAGAGGCAAGGTTATTCCTGTGAGGATTTCCCTGTCTTGGCAGTGTTTTGGGTTGTTTTTTCTACTTCTCTTTCCATTATTATTCCGGTTCTTGAACGATTATATCAAAATGTACGATTATGTGGTAATGTATATAGAAAGGAGAAGCCGCACAGAATCGAACAGAGGAGAGGATTGAAAGATCATCATCATGAGTTTCCCGTACTCTTTGCACAGTGACTTGGTGGTTTCGTCAGTCTTTTCTGGCCACATCTTTTCGTCCCAAGACGTAACATGTGTGGGCTCTACATTGTGGGTTCTGTTGCAATGAGGCGAACTTGATCCCCTTGCAACACAACAAGCCTGGACCGAGCACGTAGGAAAGCTCGGATCAGTCCGATTCATCTCCCCATCACTAACATATCACTAATCTTTTGACTACCGCTATTGTGTTTCCTCACGGACTCACACGTATTCGGAATAGCTTCTCCGACACAGGCACTCGTAAACATGAAAGTATAGTTTGCTATGAGCCA